CAAGGCCGAAAGTATGGGGCACCGAGCGAGGATCGAACTCACTTTTCAGTTGTAACTGAAATGATTTTCTAAGCGTAGCTTAGATGTGGCACAAGGCCGAAAGTATGAGGCACCCAGTGAGAATCGAACTCACTACTCAGTCGTAACTGTTTTAGCGAGACAAGCTTGTTAACCATTACACCACCTCAAGGTGCCCCTCATTGAGGTTGATATGCCGTAAACCAAACCAAACCAAACCAAACCAAACCAAACCAAACCAAACCAAACCGATTAATTACCATGAAAGTATTTACAGAAAAGACTTAGGCAATCTATATTACGACGGTTGGAAAGTCACTGAAGCTGAGAAGCCAGGTCAAGACCAATAATATTGCTGATTATTTGGATTTTATCAAGGATCTCAAAATATAAAGCAGGAACAGTATATGTGGCAGCAATATTCTAAGCATGGACGAATGGTAAACTTGTAATAATGTTCTTCATACCGGTCTCTGCAATATTTTACTTTAAAAAGAAATATATTAAAAAAAAAACTTGATTTAAACGGTTTTTCTTTTCTTTTTAGTAAATATCATTCAATAGAAAGCTCGGGGCTTCCTCTCTAAAATGGAATCCATGATTGGTGTGTGAGTTTGTTTTTTTTTTTTTTTTTGAAATAAGGATCTTCACCCTGTACAAAAAGCCGGAGTCTTTTCCACAAAGTAGCAGTTGTGAAAAAAGCTTCCAGTGGAACTTACTTCTTATCTTTGGAACACGGTGTAAATCAGGATGTTTCGACTCCATGAAAGTAGCATACCATATCCGAGCTGTAAAGGTCTGAACTGACTTCAGTTTTATCATTCTCTTTCTCTCTCTCTCTCTCTCTCTCTCTCTCGATATATACAGTTTGTCCACTCAGTAGGTATGCGATTATGGCTCTCCATAGCATCTTCTTTTTGTTACGCTCTAAAACATTTAATCGTTTATAACTTCTTTGTCATTCTGGGATAATTGTTTTTGTTTCTTTTTTTCTTTCTCTCCGCTTCTCTTATTTTCGATGTGTGCTGTGAGTGTTAAATTCTCCAAGTCTTCTTTCTTTGTTATGTGATCTCCAAATTTCAGCTGCCACCTTTCGGATTGTTATCAACAGTTTGTTTGTAGTTTCCTTAGAACTTCCTCATTCGTCACATGTTCTGCCCATGCTATTTAAATCATTCATTGGTAGAAAGTCGTTAATATTACTTCCTTTATTTCTTTTAATTATTCGTTTCTTTCTTTTAATTATTTTCTTTCTGCTTTTTCTTTCACTTAATTATTCTCGTCTTTCTTTCTTTCACTTTTGCTGCTCTTTTCGGCATTTCCATTATCAGACATCTCATTCTCTCTTTCTCTCTTTCTTTCTTTCTCTCTTTCTTTGCAGTATTTTATTTAATTCTCTTTTTATCATATTTCTTTCTTTCTTTACTTCTATCTTTCTCTCTTTCTTTCTTTACCGTATTTTATTTATTCTCTTTTTATCATATTTCTTTCTTTCCTTCTTTTTTCTTTCCTTCTATCTTCTTTCCTTCTTTCTTTCTTTCTTTCCTTCTTTTTCCTTTTCTTCTTTCTTTCTTTCTTTTTTCTTTCTTTCTTTCTTTTTTCTTTCTTTCTTTCTTTCTTTCTTTTCTTATTTTTCTTTCCTTCTATCTTCTTTCTTTCTTTCTTTCTTTCTTTCTTTCTTTCTTTCTTTCTTTCTTTTCCTAGTCTATTCACATATCCTATATCCTTTTATATTGGTTTCGAGAGTTTTATTTCTACTTTTCATTGTATAAAACATTCTTATTCTTTTCTTCTTCAGTCATCGTGTTTTTCATTTTTCTCCTACATCATGTTTTCACATCCTTGCTATACTTGCCTTTATTTCTTCTTTTTTTCTCCCCTTTTCTTGACGCTTTAAAAAAATTAAACCAATCAGAATGACTTTTCATTATTTGTATTCACAAAACTTGGCCTATATTTGCTAAAATTGAGGCCACCTTTGACGTTTCCTTTCAAAAGAAGCCTGGGTTGTCGTTATATCTGGCGTTAATATGAAAGAACCTATCGCAAAATCATTATAAAAAAGTTTCATATGTAATAAGCAATTGGAAATATGCGAAAAGAATAATAAAAAAAGGTTTATATAAAAATAGCTTAAAAATGAGGAAGACAGAATTTAAAGGCTACAAGAAGAAGAAGAAGAAGAAGAATTATTAAGAAGACAAAGACGAGTCCAATGAAATGAAAAAAAGAAAGAAAATCACAATGAGAAAGATTTTTTATTAATCTAAGCTTCCTCTGATCCAAGGCTTCAAATATGGTGATCTCCATAAGGTTCACATTAACTACAATAGGAGTAAGTAATGGCAATATTAGTTTTTACCTTATAAGGAAACATTCGGCATTCATTAACAGACCAATCAGTGCTATTCAAATTATGGTTTTCTTCCTTTCACTTCCTAGATATCGAGTTATTTTTTACAGTAAGGTTCACTCAAGTCCTGGGAATCACACGCGGTAGAAGGTTACGTTAATAGGGAGTTTATAGGAGCGGAAGATAATTTAGACTTGAACATTAAAAACAATAATAAATAGACAAAAGGCCAGAAATCTCAAAACTAATACGCAGCAAAATATAATTAACACTAGTAATTTATGCAACTGTAGAAATAAGAACACATGTCCATTAAATGGAGCTTGTAAAACAGAAGCAGAAGTAACAGATATTAATGACCAAAATAAAACGTATATATGAGAAACGGAAGGTGTTGACCATGTTCACCATAGTCTATGAATATAGAATACAGCGCAGTACGTAATCTGTTCATTGAAACAACGTTAAAGATTAACACTCACGAGTCAGACACTCCACTGAATCTGACTATATCGCCAATACCAGCAGCAGCTGTTCCGTAATTCTTCGGTCTCTGATATCAAAGGCTGCCAGTGAATATTCGGGAAAAACGTGTCCGCCTTTATACATGACGCATTGAATATTTTGAGCCTTCTGATTGGTTAACCCTTCTATTGGTGAACTATAAAATGAGTCAGCCCATTTTGGCTAGCTCACTAGTACACCAGGACACCCAAAAACTCCAACAGAAGGTACTTTCAAACGTTGATGATACAATCATAGATCGTCATCTATGATCATTTGTTGCATCAAGAAGGTAGGGTCGGTGGAATATCGACTCCAGCGCGGCGCTTGTTGCAGGGACGGGGGAATTTGGAGACTTGGGCCATGTGCACAGTCTTGGGCTCCTCCCTTTAAGCTAGACTTGTGCTATATCCCGTTAACGTGGTGGTGGTGGGGGAAGCAGTAGATACTAGGGTGTAATGTCTGTTTTTCTATCGGTGATATTAAGTCAAATAGTAAATATAGTTATTCCACAACCAAACTTCCTTGTGATTGAAAAATATCAAAGTTTGGCACAAGAACTGGAAAAAGTCTGAAAGGGGAAAATGTAAGTAATCAAAGATAATGGTTGCCGGATTTGGTAATATTAGAAAAGTGACTAAATGTTTTTCGGGTTCCAAAGACTTTTTATGATTACACAGAAGAAGAAGAAGAAGAAGAAGAAGAAGAAGAAGAAGAAGAAGAAGAAAGGAAAGCAGAAGCTGGTGAAAAAAGGGAAGGAATTAAATGAATAAAAAGGGAGAAGGAAGATAAAAAAATGATAAAAAGTAAAAAGAAAAATAAACAAGACAGAAACAATGAATGAAATATGAAAACTGAAAAAAATGAATTCAGAACAAAGATTTAAGAGATAAAGATTTCGAAATCAAAAAATCAGTCCCTATATCTTTCCCAATTTAATTTTTTTCATTCATTCATTTTTCTTTCTTTCTTCCTTTCTTTCTTTCTTTTATATTATATTTCCTATTCTCATATTTCTCTTTTTCTTTCCCTTATCAATATTATCTTTCCGCTTCTGTCTTTTTATTTTTCTTTTTTTCTTTCTTTTATATTATATTTCCTATTCTCATATTTCTCTTTTTCTTTCCTTTATTAATATTATCTTTCCGCATCGGTCTTCTTATTTTTCTGTCTTTCTTTCTTTCTTTCTTTCTGTTTTCCTCCATTTTCTTCCTTATTTATTTATTTAATCTTCCTTTTTCTATTATTTGTTTTCTTCTTCACTTTATTTTTTTCTTTCCTAAAATTATTTGACGATTGCTTTTCTTTCTTAATTTTCTTTCTTCTTTATTCTTTATATTTAATTCTTTATTTCTTTCCTATTCTATTCTTCTTTCTTTTGTTCAATTTCTTCCTCACATTATTTGTTTTATTTTTAAACTTATTTATTCTTTCTTTCTTTCTTTCTTTCTTTCTTTCTTTCTTTCTTTCTTTTTGCACGAAATTTTACTCCTTTCAACCAGCTAGAAATAATCTTTTGTATGTTTATTTTGAAAAGAGTGGTGGCACCATTTTGTTGCCAAGCCATATTTGTCTCGATTTTGTGCTAGTCTGCGAATCTCTTTTGGCAGATCGAAAATGTACTCGGCAAAGAATAGCCACTGATGTTTTTGAAAATAGCATTTTTCTATCTGTTGGTCTCTAACTGCATCTCTTCTCATCCTGGACGATATAGTCCTGGATTTTTGGCGACGGGTTTGAAGAAGAGTAAATTCGCATCATCGGCTGTTTTGTTCTGGGTCTCTGTATCATTATTCACCGCTAAAAAATCTGCAAATATTTGACAGCAGAACAAACAAGAAAAGGAGTCTTTCTTACTTAGGATAATGAATGATTGTAAGCGAACGATGACCACTTGGGTAACAGACAGCAAAAGCGTAACGAAGATCGGAAAAGAAAGAAGAATGGTGAATTAAGAAAATAAAGTAGTAAAAAGCGCAGAATGAAATGAAATAAAACGAAATGAGAAAGATTTGGGTTTAAAGAGAGATAAAGAAAGAGGAAAGGGAACCGAGAAAGAAGAAGAAGCAATTTATATATAAAAGGAAATAAATATTGAAACAACGAATAATTAGGTCGATATTGTCTAAACAGGGGATGGGGGTGAGAATGTCTGTCGAATTGTCAGAAACACGTGATAAGCGAGAAATTGGGAGTTAAGAAAAGAAAGAAGGAAATATGAAGGAAAGAATCTAATAAAAGTATAGAGAAAGAGAAATAACATAAGAAAACGAGATTTAGTGAGATCCAATAATTGAGAAGGAATTAAAACATAAGCGGAAATAGAAGAAAATGAAAAAAATGGGACAGGAAAAGGAAAGGTAAAAAGATACAAAGTGGCGTATGTGAAAGAGAAAATGAATGAAAAAAAAGAAAAGAAATATACAATAAATGAGAAAATATGTAAAACTAAAAAAGAAAAAAATCTAAGACCTAGAACGGATGAAAAAAAAAAGAAAATGAAAAAAGAAGAAAAATGCGAGGAAGGAAAAGATAAAAACGAAGCAAGAAAGAAGTTAAAAAGTAAAACAGGAAAAAGTTTAACAGTTTTGGAAGTGAAAAATTTAATGCTAAAAAGAATAAGAAGTGGAATAAAATTCAGTTTTAGTTTGGACTTTAGCGACAGATATGTGGCCACAAAAAAAAAAAAAAAAAAAAAAAACGAAATCCAGACTAAAAGAACCAAACACAATGGAAAGAAAATCACTATGAAAAGTGTGAATGAAAGAAAAAAAGAGAACTAAAGAAAGAAAGAGAAAAAGAAATAATAAGAGAAAAAGAAAGCGACAGATTTAGAAAGAGAGTGAAGAACAATGAGAAAAAAAAGATGGAAAAGATAAATAATTTCAAGAAAACAGAAATAAACGCGTCTAGTTACAACTGAACGTTTCTTCGGCATGGATAATGGTCTCTTTGTTTAAAGGTAGTTGCTTCTGTTTGTTTATTCGGTTGGGAAAAGCAACCACATTTTGCCCCAAGCGTCGGAGATCAGGTTACCTAGAATGATACAAAACAGATACAGACACATACGCATGCGTGGACACGGATGCACTTGTGCAAACACAATGAAGAACACGCATGCGCACACGAACTTATATCATTTCTTCTTTTAACTCCCAGAGCGATACGCTTTCGAATGCTTCATTTTATCTTTTCTATTTTCTTGCCATTATTCTGTATCTGACTTTCTCTTTCAAGATAGTTTTTTCTTTTTACTGATTTTAACACAGATTTCTTTCACAATGACACATATACATGCGCTCAATACCGCCAGATAACATTTTAAAATTTTATCTCTTTTTTTTCATTTTCGTAACTGATGATTATTTGTTAGTTATCTCACGACATTATTTCCTTCTTACAATTTTTTTATTTCTATATTTCTTTTTTCTTTCTTTCTTTCTTTCTTTCATGACTTCTTTTCATTTTCCTCTTTTTCTTTCATTATATCTTAATTTTTTCTTTCTTTCCTTTCCTCAATTTTCTTTCTTTCTTTCTTTCTTTCTTTCTTTCTTTCTTTAATGTCTTTTTTCCATTTTACTCCATTTTCTTTCTTTCTTTTCGATTTTTGCACTTTCTTAATTTCTTTTCATTTTCCTTCATTTTCTTTCTTTCTTTCTTTTTTGCTTTCTTTCTTTAATGACTGCTTTCCACGTTCATCAATTTTCTTTCTTTTTCCTTTTTCTTTTTTCTTTCTTTCATGCTATCTTTATTTTTCCTTTCTTTCCTTTCCTCAATTTTCTTTCTTTCTTTCTTTCTTTCTTTCTTTCTTTCTTTCTTTCTTTCTTTAATGTCTTCTTTCCATTTTACTCCATTTTCTTTCTTTCTTTTTGATTTTGTGCCACTTTTTTAATTTCTTTTCATTTTCCTTCATTTTCTTTCTTTCTTTCTTTCTTTCTTTTTCTCTTTCTCTTTCTTCTTTTAATGTCTGCTTTCCATTTTTATCAATTTTTTTATCCTTTTTCTTTTTTCTTTCTTTCGTGCTATCTTTATTTTTCCTTTCTTTCCTTTCCTCAATTTTCTTTCTTTCTTTCTTTCTTTCTTTCTTTCTTTCTTTCTTTCATGCCATTTTTGTTTTTCTTTCTTTCCTTTCCTCAATTTTCTTTCTTTCTTTCTTTCTTTCTTTCTTTCTTTCTTTCTTTCTTTCTTTCATGCCATTTTTATTTTTCTTTCTTTCCTTCCCTCAATATTCTTTCTTCTTTCTTTTCTTTCTTTCTTCATTTTCTTTCTTTCCTTCTTTTCAATTTTGTTCCACTTTCTTAATTTCTTTTCATTTTTCTTCATTTTCTTTATTTCTTTTTCGCTTTCTTCTTTTAATGTCTGCTTTATCAATGTTTATCAATTTTCTTTCTTTTTCCTTTTTCTTTTTTCTTTCTTTCATGCTATCTTTATTTTTCTTTCTTTCCTTCCCTCAATATTCTTTCTTTCTTTCAATTTCACTATTTCTCTTCATTCCTTTTTCGCTCATTTCTACAGTCATACTTCCATTTTCTATTATGGTTTTCTATACCAACGAATATACATTAATTTCCATATTGACAATACACGCATACACACACAAACACATGAACGTCCTCTTTCACACTCACATACCAAAATATTTTCATTCACACATACATGCACACACACTCTCTCTTCGCACACACATATATAAATACGTACATCTATTTATTTATACACAAAACACCTTATCTATTGGACAAATGAAAAACATCGGGGGAATAAAATTTGGAAAATTCGCTTATACATTAGACAATAAAAATATCAATATCTAAATATTTCGATGTTTACATCATCATCAGAGATTAACTAACATAACGTTATAGAATTAAATCAAATGAATGTTCTTGCTTGAAAAACCAATATTAATGACACTAATGTTCTTTGGGTCGACGGATAGCTAGCTATCTGTCTGTTGATATCTATCTAATTCTGTTAATATCTATCTATCTATCTATCGCTGCATGTTATATCCATGGATTTCCGTATATTCCATTGTATTTTCCCCTCGATGAAGGATCGAGGGTTAATGAGCAGGTATAAACATGTGTATGAATATCAACACACGACCTAGTGAATAAATGGTTTGCGCATGCGTGCAAAGTTGTACTGAGGAAAATTTCTTTATCTCTTTTCCCGACCATTTTCTTCTTTTAATTCCTACTATAATTGTCAATTCTTTCTTTCTTTCTTTCTTTCTTTCTTCTGGCATTCCAGCCCTCTCCTCCACACATTATACTTTTTCATTCTCTTTCATTCGCGTTTTTTCGTTATAATGTCCATTCTTTTCTTCGTCTTTCTCTTCTTCCTTTTCTCTCCTTGGAGTTTCCTCTTCTCTTTTCTCTTCTTTCTTTTCTTTCTCCTCCTTTTCCTACAATTCAAAACCACATGAAACATTCATTTTTCTCTTATTCATATGTTCTTCTTACTCGTCTTTCCTCCGATTCTCACCCTCACACCATTTCCTTCTTTCTTTTCTGTTCTTCCCCTTGTCCTTCTTCAACCACTCCCCACTCCAACACCTTATCATTATCATCATCATTATTATTATTCATTATATTTGTTTCATTCCATTCTTTATTCTTTCTTTTTTCATTCGCTGTTTTCTTCTTCGCATTATTTTTTCTTTCTTCTGACATCCGACGCCATTGTTTTTTTCATTCACAGCAACCTCATTCTATTCATTTTTACTCCTAATTCTTTTATTTCTTTTTCATTTCGTTCGTCTCCCTTTTCTTTCCTTTATTTCACTATTTTTTCATTCGCATAACTTTTTATTTTCTTCTTCTCTTCCACCGGTCTTCCTTCTTCATTCTTTACTCATTCAACATCTCATTACAATCTTCATTTCCTACACTTCGTTTATTTCTTTCCTTCTTTCTTTCTTTTTCCATTTCTTTTCTTCTTTCTGTTATCATTTTTCTTCTTTCTTTTGCTCTCATAAGATTTCTTATTCTCATCTTCATCTTTTTCTTTCACTTGTTAATATCCTCTTCCCACAACGCTTTTCTTTCTTTCTTTCTTTCTTTTACTCATATAATAATTTATTTTCATTTTCCTCTTTTTCTTTCACTTATAAATATCCTCTTTCCACTTCCGCTTATTTTTTTTCTTTTGCTCATATGAATTTTTTTTATTTTCATCTTCCTCTTTTTCTTTCAGTTGTTAATATCCTCTCTCCTCACCGGCTTTCTTTCTTTCTTTGTTCATTATATTACCATTTTCTGTCTTTCTTTTGCACATATAATTTTTTTTATTCATATTCTTCTTTCACTGATTTATATCCTCATTCCACTTTGGTTTTCTTTTCGGTTTTATTTCTTTCGTTTATATTATATTTCCTATTCTCATACTTCTCTTTTTCTTTCCCTTATTAATATTATCTTTCCGCGTCGCTCTTCTTATTTTTCTTTCTTTCTTTCTTTCTTTCTTTCTTTCTTTCTTTCTTTCTTTCTTTCTGTTTTCCTCCATTTTCTTCCTCATTTATTTATTTAATCTTCCTTTTTCTATTATTTGTTTTCTTCTTCACTTTATTTTTTCTTTCCTAAAATTATTTAACGATTGCTTTTCTTTCTTAATTTCTTTCTTCTTTATTCCTTGTATTTAATTCTTTATTTCTTTCCTATTCTATTCTTCTTTCTTTTGTTCAATTTCTTCCTCATGTTATTTGTTTTATTTTTAAACTTATTCTTTCTTTCTTTCTTTCTTTCTTTCTTTCTTTGTAATGTCATATTTGCTATTTCTTTTCCCGTCTTCTTTTTCTTTAGCTCGCTGTTTTCTCATTCACACTATTTTTTTCCCTTTTTTTTCTTCTTCTAACTCTCCTTGGTCATTCTTTATTCATTCACCCCATCCCCACGTCATCTTCATTCCCTATTCTCTTTGATTTCTCATTCTTCTTTTTGTTTTTCTTTTTTGTTGTACATTCCATTCTTTTTCCCGCTATTTTTCCTTCATCTTGTCCACTTCTACTGCTCATTAATTTCACCATCATTTCCTTCCTAATTCTTTTTTTTTTCTTCATTCCGATTATTTCTTCTTCTCGCCTTACTTCTTCTTTATCCTACCATTTTCTTCTTCTTGCATTTCCCGCCAACTGCACAAAAGAGCATTTGGGCGAAACGTAATATTTAAAAGAGAGGATTTATTGGACTTTCCACATGACGAGAAGATCGAGTTGTTCACGCTGCTACGCGTAACTCCTCCGCGTCTAAATTTCCGCAATTTTCACTCGCGAGCGCGCACATGCATGTCTCTTATAGAAGTACATCCTTATACGTCCATCCTCTGCCCCGGCTACACGAGAAATGCAACGTAATCATGCATATAGATGCATTTGCACGCGCGCTCTCGTCTACCCGTCACACAACGCACAGACAGAGGCAAAATTTTGCGCATTGGCTTGAAAAGTATACGTGTCTTTCCACTTCACAGTCTTCATCCGTCTTTACGACGATGACCTCGATTCTCTTAGGGGATTTTGAAGAAAACAAGAAGTTTCTCTATCATTCTACATTCGGAGATGTCAGTCACGTATTAGTATAAAATATAACAATTTGGACTAATTAATGTCAGTTCTTCATTGTATAAGATTATATTAACGAAGTCTGAATAAGTTATACCTCCTACATATAGTAGTCAGAAAGTCCTCTTACATCATAGTAAGACTTGATAAAGACACCACGTCCACTAATGTCTTGTCATTATGTGGGGGGTATTTTAGAGAGGCATATGTGTGAGGTATTTCTGCTATATATATATATATATATATATATATATATATATATATATATATATATATATATATATATATATTATTATATATTATTATATCTACCTATCAACACAAATGGGTATGTTTCAGTCCTCATGAATACGTTGGACACTATTATAAGTGGGGTAATATACTGTCTAAGTAGTCCATCACTAGCAGTGGTTTACCTACTTGACGCCGCTGGCGAGTATTGTATTTTGTTGATGTTATAAAAGATTATATATATATATATATATATATATATATATATATATATATATATATATATATATATATATATATATATATATATATATATATATATATATATATATATATATATATATATATATATATATATAGCATTTAGATAAACCTACCGAGGTTTCACCTAAGCGGATCGTCGGGGAAAGCTGGCTAAAGAGGCAAAAAAGAAACTCATATTCTTGTGTTCTTGTCTTCTTTATCTTTGGTCATGTGGTATATTCTAACTATCGCCTATAAATATGCGTTTTCTTTTTGCCTCTTTAGACAGCTTTCCTTGACGATCCGCTTAGGTGAAACCTGGAGAGGTTTTTTCTGGCTCACTAGGTTTATCTAGGTCTGCTCTACGGTTGTATTGAGCTCTTTTGTTAGTTAGTTATTTACTCGTATCGGGTTTTTTTTTCTTTGGGCTTCAAACCTGTATCTGTGCGATTTTTTTTTTGAGAGACTTTCATGTTTCTAGCTCTTTCTTTTTTTTAAAAAACCTTTTTTTCCTTCCAGATTGATTTGATTATTGGCAAATCAAAAATTCGAAGGTTTTTCGAAACGAGTATAGTTACCTATATTTGTATTTATATATATAGCATTTATATATATATATATATATATATATATATATATATATATATATATATATATATATATATGTGTGTGTGTATGTGTGTGTGTGTGTGTGTGTATGAACAGTGAAGTCAACACTCAGAGGAGACAGACTCTTTCATGCGAAACGCAATCATCAGGCCACATCCATCGTGTCTTGACTATTTATATATACGGGTGCATTGTGGGTAGTCTATTGCATTGTGGGTAGTCTATTGCATTGTGGGTAGTCTATCCTAACGGTTATTTTAGTTTGCTAATTTGTTTATCAGTTACTTTATTTATTTGGATTAATTTATTTTACTTGTTATCGCTTATTTATTTTTATTTATTCTTTTCAGTTTTCGATTTTTAAGTAATGCAGTAAAAATTTGTTTTAGTATCTGCATTTTGAGACACGAATACAAATTTTTAATTTGTTTTTTTTTCTATCTTCACAAATTTAATTGCAATATTAATCGTCATCTCATATAGACTTGATACCTGTTCTTTTATTGTTCTCTAATCTTAATAATGTATTTTTCTTCGATTCTTTCACATTCAGGAAATTCCTGTGTCTTAGTCGCTTTATCGACTTGCTTGGGGGTGAAATGATTTTTAAGAAATTCAAAACAGGTGTTAGTGCCACTAGCACGCAAGGGGTTACAGGGAGTGAGAGTAAGATTAAAGAGGATTATTTCGGAAAAGGATAAAGAGAAGGACAGGGATCAACGTCAAGGCATCAGAAGATATCGATTGACATTACATTTGAATATTTGAAGATTATATATATCTGCAATGTAATCGATCCTGATTTGGCATCTCGATTTCAGTCACCTTCTCATCGATGTGGCGGGTCTTCCCTCTTTCTTTTCTACCTACTGCTCTGGCGAGATTTTTTTTCTGGTGCCCGGACTACGTGAGTTTAAGCGTGCTACTAGATTAGCACTTCGGTCCCACCCTTTTGCCGTTGAATTAGTTAAATGTAACCGCCACTGATAATCCAACAGTTTCTTTTCTCGCACTTCCCACTTGTGGAACCCCCTTACGTTTCCTTGCTTTTCTCATGGCTACAATCTTCAAAAATTTAAATGCAACGTCAACTGCCATCGTCGATATTCTAAATCGCTGTTCAGCTTTTATTTTTTCCTTGGTTCCCACCCTGCCCAGTTTTTTCTCTCACCTTCACTCTCTGTAACCCCCTGCGTACTAGTGGCAGTCCCGCCTTGCTTGGGGTGAAATGATTATATATATATATATATATATATATATTATTGTTATGGACCTTAATCATATATAAATAATGGACTATTCCATACGTAATAAATACTGCGCCTCAAGAGGAAGCAGAGAGTTCAGTCCGAAGTCGGGCGACCGGCTGACCGTCTGATCAGTTGAACTCTCTGCCTTCGGGCGGGGAGGAACCGAACGAGGCTACGCCGAAGGGCGGAGTCTATTTCAGGGAGGTAAACCGAGCCTGAACCCGTTTATACGGGTTCAAAGGGCATATTTTTGGCCGAGCCCACGGGCTCGGAGATCCCACGTTAAACCGGCCTTGAGACACATGATGCCCTCGTTGGGGGTGGTGACTAAATACCGTTCATTCTGAATTCTGGTGTGAGGTCCTGTCAGGAGTCAGTCAGTCGAGTCAAGAGTTGAGTCAGAGGCAGTCCGAAACAGAGTCGCGTTCAGACAATTACTACAAGACATTGGAATAGTGATACTGGTCGAGACTACATTGTTCTTCCTACTAAACCTGATTGTTCGTACTAACACTTTCTACTTCTTTGTATATATTCCTGTTTGTAATATCTGTGTTATTCCATATCCGTGTTCGAGTTATTCTTTATTGGTTCTACCTTGGACCATCACCGTGGTACAGGACCTGGACCATAACATATATATATATATATATATATATATATATATATATATATATATATATATATATATAATTTAACATTATCATTTGCGGTTTAAAGATATAACATTTTTAAAATATATTTAGGGCAATTATATATACGGGGCGTAACAGCAAAATTGTTCAAATCGTGTTACAGCATAATTGTCCATCCCACAAAATGTTTAATAACTAAAAAAAAGAAAGGGAAAAAAAACAACACTAAATTAATTCAGATGCTTTTTTCCAGGTTTTCCAGACGTTTAGCCATGTTGATAAAATCTGTATGAATAATTGAAAAAAACTTTGAGTTATTCAGCTAGAAAGAGAACAGGTTAAAATCGTTTGTGTCACCCCACTGTCTTCTCACCTGAACAATGATGAGAGGAAAAAACATTCAGGCCTTCAGTCATGCTACGAACATTTATACTCTGACTTACATCGTCAAAGTCCATTCAAGAATCGTCAAGAAAACTGTGAATAAGTTTAGCAATGAGCGAATGAGAGGATAAATGGACCTGGAGGTCACAACAGGAAGAGGGATCATCGTTTGTTAAGGAGATCAGATTGAAAAATCCATCTCAAATCTATTAGATGTTTGATATGTGTGAGAGGAGTTTCAGAGATGACAGTCCAACTAGCGGTGAAAAAAAGACTAAATCGTTGAATATAAAACACAAAAAACTTGTCTTAGGTAAAACAACTGATAAAAAATCCCTGATAAAAAAGATCGTAAAGATGACATTTTGCAAATGTGTACATACTTGGAATCAATGAATATTTATAAATATGGTAACTTTCTAAGAAGCTTCTCAATGAATATAAGTTCATATTAAATTTAGGTAGACCATAATTTATTTAATGAGACACTGAGACACACA